TAACTAGCGAAGTATACAGTAGCAAGAAAATGCATAATTTTATAATTTCCGTATTCCCAAGAAAGCAGGGAGGGTGCTGGTTTGGTGACGTTGCTAGGGACAGAGATGGCAGTCCTAAGACACAGACAGCACCTAAAATTGGCTTAGAAGAGATGTCTGTAAATAAACATATCAACATACACTTGTTGACATATATATTAGACTCCATTTGTAGATTTTAATAATGGAAATTTGACTTAAAACATACTTCAGGTTAATATATCATGGAACTCAAGATTTAAAAGACCTTAAAAAGCACGACTCATTCATATTAGAGCCACGAACTCCGCAAAGATCAGGAGACTTAACTAGTGTAACATAGCTAGTAATCCCAATAACGGGGTTCAACCCAAGTCTCTGGAATTCCAGTCCAATGTTCCTTCTATTGCCTATCAAGTGCGAATAGCAGATGACTAAACTCATTAGAAAACATCAAAGACAAAAATCACACACACACACACACACACACACACAGAGAAATAGCAAATATGTGTTGCACTAAAAAAATGCTATCATTTTTATACTCAATTAAAAAAATCCAAGTCTTTGGAAGGTATTATAGAGAACTACTATATTGAAAGTACATTGTGTTGTTAAAGGGAGTTTAAGTTAATTGCTCATGGAAGAAACACTTATCTGGGTAGAAGTTTATGCTTGACTTAGGCTTTCAGCCTGAAGGTTGTAATAGATGAGTGATTCTCTTAACCTTAAATCTATTTTTCATACAGTGGCATGACAGTCATCATCTGAAGTCATTTTTAAGTTTCCCAGAAGTGTGGAAAAACTAACCTAATCTTACTTTCATAACCTTTTTAAAGGGCAAAATTTTACTTTTGGTTTTAAAATCATTTTTAAAAGGAGCTACCACTCTCAACAAATCCAAGTATTTAAGTTTCACGAGGACATAAAAGAGCTGTCACTGGTGGTTAAAAGTTTGTTGTATTTCTGCCCTGCATAAGGTTGCACCTCATGATTTGGGGAGCATGATTATTATTTTTCTGAATCTTAAAATTTTAAAAAACTGAACATAATGTCAAATTGAGCCTGATTTTCTTTATATAATTTTGCAGAAACATGAAAAAAAATTGCTCTGGGTAGCTTTGGGGCTCAGAACTCAAGGGCTTATGAGCTTTGAGGATCAGAAGAAACCAGACACCAGGCAGCTGCTGTGTGGTTATGGACAGGTGCTCACTCCAAAGCCCGCTCCTGCTCTTCCTCATCAGGGCTTCTCAAAGTGTCCAGCCAAAGCACGTGGGAGCAGGGGAGAAGGGACTCTATCCAAGGGAGGTAGACAGACTCCACCGATGCAAGTTTTCATTCAAATTTCACATTATACTCCATACTATTCTTAAGTTTGTTTTAATATCAAGGAATGAGCATTTATTTAGTTTTAATATAAGGAAATGAACATTTCTTTATATTAAACCTCCAGCACTCTCTACCCCCTCCTCTGCTTTATTTTCTCTATAGCACTTCTTGCCTCTGTGAAATCATATAGTTCATTTATTTTCTTTGATTGTTGTTTACACCCTTTCCCAATGAGGGTTATTTAGTTCACTGCTGCACACCAGCACCAAGAACAAGGCCTGGCACTTAGCAGGACTCAATAAATAGACACGGAATGAACGATGGAGTATTTTAGATGAGGATGTGTTGAATCGGACTGTCCTGGAAGCTGCGCCTCCTTTACCCCATGGCTCAGAGGCATACATTCTCATCCTCAGCAGCAAGCACACTCCTAGTTTTGGAAGAAAAAAATGTGTGACATTTAGGGAATGTGGGGGAAAGACGCAGCAGTGACTCCTCCCCGCTTGCTTGGCATCATGAGATATTAATATTTCTTGACTTCTGAGCCCATGCCATGGGTGTAGTGTGTCATGAGCCCATATCATGAGATATTTTGTTGATTCCTGATGAATTAGGTCTTTTGATTTTATTCCCACTAAATGTCCTCTGATTGCACGAGGGTGGTCTTCAGTGGCCTGCCTGCTCTTGCTTGGACAATGCTGCTCTCCCTAACTATCCAGATCCTTCTCATCCCTCAAAGCCCAGTTTAGGCCAAACTTTTGGGAAATTAGCCTTCATTTAACAATCTGAATACGAAGGCCACACAGGGGGCAGCCTCTCCAGCTCTGTGGGGCCAGGTAATGGATGTATATGGGATCTGCTAAAGTGGCCTGAAAGAACAAGAGGATTTCAACATGTAATACAGCAATTTTGAAAGAAAGTACAATAGTGGACTGTCTTCCACTAAACCACAAATACCAATCACTGATTCACTTAACGCTGTCTTTCCTCTCAGTTCTCAAGGAAACATTTACTTTCTTTCATCTATAGCAATTCCAGGCACAAAAAGCTGTATCCTTGGCTTGACCACCGCCCCTTGACAAGATGCAGTTGGGCTTCAAAAGCACGTTTTCCTAGTTACTGACATTTCTGAGCTTACTTAAAAGAGAACTACCTTGTTATTCTCCAAGAGTATCCTAAGCTACCTTGTTTATGTATCACCAACAAGATATTTCATATAACAAGCCCTCATATAGACTTTACCTTGTACAGGAATTCTTCTAAGCTGATTACGTTTATTGACTTGTTAACCTACAAAACAACTTAACTGTTAGAGAGATACTACTATGATTTCCATTTTACAGATGAAGAAACTGAGTCACAGAGAGAGGATGAGTAAGACCATGTAGTCAGTAAGTTCCAGCACTGGGATTCGGGCGCAGGTGCTCTGGCTCCTGAGACCATGTGCCTAACTACTAGCCCACCTGCCTCACACCTCTACCACCTTCCTGGTACCGGTCTGCCCACCTCTTACCCCTGATCTTGACTCTTCCTGGACAGAGAGAGACCCTGCTGCCTCTAAAATCATCTCCCAAACCATCCAAGCTAAGTTTCTTCCAATAGGCATGAAACCACCTTAAGGACCCTTCCCCATACTTTGCAAACACCCACAGATACTGATTCATTCACTTCTTGGCTGGCCCAGCTAGTCCATGCTTTTAATCAGACACATCCGTCTTTTAAAATGCTCAAACCGTTTTCTCTCTCTGAATTCCTGAATGCGATATTTACGAATAAAATTTCCAACCACAAAAATGCCATGATCTAAATGGGGTTTGGGGAATATAAATTTGGTGGTGGTGTCTGAAGGGGAGCAGGGGAGGTTGTGTGGGCGAGAAACTGGGTGTAGAATTGGGCGAGAAGCTAGGTGTTTGTAACTCCGTTAGAAACTTTCACTTTTGAAGTCATATAATGCTGTAAGAGCTTTGGGAATGGAAAGGAAGGGGTGGATTCAAAAGGCATTTCAGAAAGAACAATGGATTGGACTTGCGGGCAACTTCCTCTAGGGATAAGGTAGAGAAGGGAGTTAAAATGATGCCGCTATTTTGGGCCCGAATGATTATAATGAGAGTGTCATTACCTGAAATAGGTATATCAGGAAGCTAATATGATTCAGGGAGAACAAAAAGTTCATGTTAGAATCTTCGTCATCATCCCTGTTCAACAGCTGGAAGACACCATAAGTGAGCCTTTAATGGGCCCCTTTCAAGTGTCTAACAGAGCACATGATGTTAAATCTCCAATAATAATTAGCTGAGAGTGAGAACACCTTTTACACGGGCCTCATGGAGGTGCCTGCTAGAGTATTTGATGAATAAGATCCTCCTCAGCCCCTCCCCTACAGGGGTGGAATTTGGGGTATGATTTGAATGTTAAGAGTATGGCTTACTACATAGCCTAACCCCAAACAATGGCAAACAACTTTCCGTCACACCTAAAAAATCCTCAAAAAGTGGCAAAGTCATCAGTTGTATGACAAACTGGTGATGTGCTTGATTTCCAGGCTTGCTCTTACTTCATATTAATTTTTTAAATGACAATCTCAATCTCGAACCCCTACCTCTATTTGTTTCTTCAAAGGCCTGGGCAATGCCAGTAGACGGGCTACAGATTGAGCCGTGATAGCAGAAAGCTTCTTGGAATTTAGCCATTATAATCTGGCACAAGGTAGAAATGTAGAAGTAACGCTGAAAGAGTTACAGACACAGTGCCAAGGCCGCTCAAGAGGCAGGGAGGGCCTAGGTTGGTGTGTGCAAAGAGATTGGTGGACAATGTCATGAAACGGTATTTTAAAAATCCAAACGACTCTGATGATTCATATTAGGCATGGACCCCACCTCGGATAGGAACACCTTCCCCACTTCACACAAGCTCCAGAGTAGTCTCCGTGCACATCAGTGAGCACTGAAACGACTTGCAGCAAAGCTCTGCGTTCAAAGTCTAACTTTGACCGACAACCTTACTTCTAGTAAAGTCTACTCTCCTCCCTGCAGAGGGAATGAACCGCTACGGGGGTGAAGCGTTTGCCCGGCGTCAGAGCCAGCTGCTCTGAAGCGCCAGATTTTCGGAGACTGTGGGTAGGGGAAACAAATCCAGTCCGGGTTTTGACTGAACGGGGGACGGGAGGGCTGCGAGGAATGGCTCGCGAGGAGGGGGCCGGTGGTGGAAAATACACAACACAAACAGCTCGCGCCGAAGGACGGCGGCGGTAGGCCCGGAGCGCGCGGGCGCAGCCGGCCGGGAGAGGCGCGCGCGGGCCCGGCCGCCGGCCGCATGGAGCGCAGCGCGGCCCGCGGT